TCTCTCTCTCTCTGTGTGTGTGTGTGTGTGTCTCTCTGTGTGCGTGTGTCTGTATCTGCGTGCGTGTGAGTGTGTGTATGAGTGTGAGTGAATGAGTGTGTGTGTGTCTGTGTGTGTGTGAGTGTGTCTCTGTGTGCGCGTGTGTGTGTGAGTGAGAGAATGTGTGTGTGTGTGTGTGTGTGTGTGTGTGTGAGAGAGAGAGAGTGTGTGTGAGAGAGAGTGTGTGAGTGTGTGTTAATTTGTTCAGCCTAATCTTATAATGGACTAAAGCTCAGTTTGATAGATCAGATGATGCAGTATGAGCATGCATGGGTTCTTCACACCTCTGGACTCCTTTTAACGAACATTTAACGGCTCACAAACGCCTGAGCCGCATCAACCTATCAGAGCGCTCGTGCCACCGCTGGCCTGGAAACCCAGCGTCTCCAGCGAGAGTAATCACCCCACTCTCCGTAACGAGGACAGCCGGGGTCCCACTGCAACCCAGAGCTCTTATTTTACCTCACACACGCTCAGAGTCACAGTCAGGCGGTCACAGCGATGCATGAGACGGAATAAACATGCAAATGTTGTAATAAAACCGTGTGGTTATTGAAATGTGACATATGTTATGCGCACAGAGATGCATAAGGTTTCATAAATCATGCACAGATAGCACAGTGGCTTTTCATCGCAGCCAAACAAAATTTAATGCAAATCAGCACCAGTGCACATTTCACACATTACAAAGTGTGCAGTCATAACTATTTTTTTATTAATTATGTTCTCACTTTTTGTTTGTTCTTAATTTTGACACCAAAGTCAGAAAATATGCACCCATATATACAGGGTGTCCATGTGTTGCTTTTAAATCAATTCATTCATTTTATTATTATTTTTTTTAAATATTGTATTATTTTGTTGATTGTATAATTGAGGGTACTGTCACAATCATGGTACTAAAATCACATTAATATAGATTATTCTTAAAATCACTGTCACGGCTGAAGAGCCATCCACTTTTCTTTAGTTGATTTATTTAATTAATTAAAAATGTATTTTTAAAAAGAAGAAATAGAATCAACCTTTTTATTGCTTTAATTGTAATTATTTATCTCAACATTTTAATTTAATGCTAATTTGCACTCATTATGAAGTGTGCAGTCATAACTTATTCTAGTTTTGTTATTAAATTTGTGTCTTTCATTTTTTTTTTCATTTTGACATTAAAATCAGAAAAGATGCATCCATATAGACAGGGTGTTCATATGGTGTGTGTGTGTGTTTTTAAAAATCATCATACAGACAGGCAGACACACACACAGACAGACACACACAGACAGACAGACAGACACACACACACACACACACACACACACACACACACACACACACACATATATATATATATAATTGAGGACACTGCTCCAACCACGCTTATTCTTAAAGTCTCTGCATCTTGGTAATAGTGAAAAATGATTAATTAATATGAACTTTTAAAAAAATTGTACCACTTTAATTTAATGCTAATTGGCACTAATTATAAAGTGCGCAATCATAACTTATTCTATTTTTATTACATTGATTTGTTTAAAAAAAAATTGTAATCAACGTATTGATTGATTGATTGAATTTAAAGTGTATTAAATAAGGCAAATAGAAGCAACCTATTTACATCTTTAATTTTAAATAATTGTAACTTTTTAATTTTATCATTCATCATACATATGTCTGAAAGTACTACAAATACACTCACTCCCGATCATTGTTTTGTTTTATTTTTTTTAATTCTTTCTGACTTTACAGAAATTCCTTTGTAGGTTCCAAAAATTGCACCATAGCCCGAACACTGCAGTCCAG